CCCCCCCAATATTAAAATAAGAACCATGTCCCTCAAACCTTTGCTTGATCCCCTTGCCCTTCTAGCTCCTGCCCGGTCCCATCCTTCTTCCAGCCTTATACTTTTACAGGATTTTGCAGTTTATAAAGCTTTGCTCCTTTTGTTTGTTTGTTTGTTTGTTTGTATCAATTACCTGTTATGTCATATCACTACCATAGCACAGCTTTGAGGTTATAGTACTCACCCATTTTACAGATGAGAAGAGTAAGTCTCAGACTAGAATTCAGCAGAAGCCCCATGCTCTTTCTTTGATAACTCACTGCCTCCCTTTGATGCTAAGCTTTCAGGGTAAGTGGTCTGGATCTACCATCTCCATTTCCCTGCCTGCATTTTCTCTTAACCCCATGTAGTCACTGTGCTCTCTTTAAGATCAACACGGCCACTAGCTCCTCCCCAGCGAGCCCACTCTTGAGGCCCCTCCCAGACCACCTTCTTTCAAAACCTTCATGGCAAGCATCTGACTCTACCCACTGCCTTCTCTTTCTTCTCACTTTCTTGGGCTAGAACTAGGACTTGAAGTCTACATCAGAGAAGGAGGTGTGTCCGGGTCGGTGCGCCTTGGCTTTGCAATGTTAACCCAGGTGAGTCACGGGACCCTCACCTTGGAATGTGCTTCTGCTCTGAGTTATGGCAGGTTTTCAAAAGCACATTCCACCACCAGCAGCAGCCCAGCCGCGAAGGGCTTTACCCGAAAGAACAGCTTACCTTGGTTTTGACCAACTTGGCAGAAGACGGGTTTTCGATTTGATGGCAAATAGGATCCGAGCTGTCATACCTTGTGACTTGGCTGGACATGGGAAAGTGAATGTTGGTAGTTTGGGGACAGAGCAAAAGGAAATAGTCCTGCCCAATAGGTGTGGGGCAAGGACTAGGGACATGAAGCCAGCTATAGGTAATGGGGCTGATGTCTAGTCCTGTGTTGTCCAATAGTGATCTCTAAACGTAGGCAGATATTTAAATAACTAAAATTAAATATTTGGTCCTTTATAGTTGCACTAAAGTGCTCAATAGTCACCTGTGGCTAGTGGCTGCCATATTAGGTAGCCCAGATATAGAATGTTTCCAATCATTCCAGAAAGTTCCATTGGACAGCACTGACTGTAGACCAGTGGATAGAAAAGAATAAAAGGCCAGCAGTTGGCTCAGAGAGAGTAAGAGACAGAAAAGCTCCTCAGGAATGGCTGGGAGAGGGGGTGGCATCAGAGAGGAGGCAGGGAGGCAGCAGGGGGCAGGCCCTGTAAAAATGTCCCCTTCCACTCTCTGTGCGCATCTCCAGGATAAATGTTAGGCGGGCAATCGCATCAGACTCACATGTGTTTCTCCAAAGCGAATGCACATCCTTCAGGGAAGAAAGGAGTCCTCAGGTAGGAAACCCATGCCAGGGCTGGCATCAGGAAAGTGGGGGACACTCCTGTTTCCAGATATTGATCTCTTCAGTCGAGGCGGAGGGTTGGAGAGTAAATGTTTGGAACGGAGATCTAGAGGGTAGGTGCAGAGGAGGAAGTCAGAAACACGACCTGGAGCAGGGGGAAAAGATTGGCTAAAAATTTGAATTCGGGACTCAGTTGTAGTCACCAAAATGTCCTATTATTGCCACTTCTGAATCTACAAGGTTAGATGACTTATTAGCGCTCCATTTATTTCTGTACATTTGGTGATGAGCATTGCTTTGCTAATTATTTACTTGAAAATGATCTTAAGCCATGGAAAAAAAAGTGAGTGCCTAATCAAAACGATGCTTATGCCCTGTGCTCAGCAAAGAGACCTGGAAAAATCTCCATTCTAAACTGATTCACTCCTTAAATTGTAAATTCCAGGGAGTAGCTTCAGGCACGGCTGGATCCACGTAGTCAAAATGAAATTGTCATCAGAAAGTTATGTCTAAGGCTTGCCTCTGCTTCTCTGTGTGTTGCTGTCATCCTCAGACTTTCTCCAGGTTGTGTCAAGGTAGGCTTGCAGCAAGGAGCTCCAGGCTTAATACTGTTGGTTCCCAATAGTTTCTGCAAGAGTTGCATTGGCCTGACATGAGGTATTGCCCATTCTTTTTTTTTTTTTTTTTTTTAAATATATTTTATTGATTTTTTACAGAGAGGAAGGGAGAGGGATAGAGAGTTAGAAACATCGATGAGAGAGAAACATCGATCAGCTGCCTCCCGCACATCCCCCACTGGGGATGTGCCCGCAACCCAGGCACATGCCCTTGACCGGAATCGAACCTGGGACCCTTCAGTCCGCAGGCCGACGCTCTATCCACTGAGCCAAACCGGTCTCGGCAGTATTGCCCATTCTTGAGCCAGCAACCGGTATCTGGGAAATGCAAGGCTCTGATTAACCAAGCCTGATCATGTGCCGCACCTGAAACACCGGTGGACAGCTTCACCTAGAGCAGTGATGGCGAACCTTTTGAGCTCGGCTTGTCAGCATTTTGAAAAACCCTAACTTAACTCTGATGCCGTGTCACATATAGAAATTTTTTGATATTTGCAACCATAGTAAAACAAAGACTTATATTTTTGATATTTATTTTATATATTTAAATGCCATTTAACAAAGAAAACTCAACCAAAAAAATGAGTTCGCGTGTCACCTCTGACACGCGTGTCATAGGTTCGCCATCACTGACCTAGAGCATTAGGGTTCTTTTTTTTTTTTTAATTTTTATTGATTTTTTACAGAGAGGAAGGGAGAGAGATAGAGAGTTAGAAATATCGATGGGAGAGAAACATCAATCAGCCGCCTCCTGCACATCTCCTACTGGGGATGTGCCCGCAACCAAGGTACATGCCCTTGACCGGAATCGAACCTGGGACCCTTCAGTCCCCAGGCTGACGCTCTATCCACTGAGCCAAACTGGTTTCGGCGGGTTCTTTTTTTTCTTTCTCTTTCTTTTTAAAGAATAGTTTATTGACTTTTAGAGAGACAGCAAGGGAGAGGGAGAGAGAGAAACATTGATAAGAGAGAAACATGGATCAGCTACCTCCTGCATGCCCCCTACCCAGGATTGAGCCCGAAACATGGGCATATGCCCTTGACTGGGATTGAACTAGCAATTTCCTGGTGCATGGGATGATGCTCAACCAACTGAGCCCCACCAGCCAGGGCAACCACTAGGCTTCTGAGGGGTGGTGAAGTAGTTCTGCATAGTAACCCAAACTCTGTAACCCAAAGAAGGAAAGTGGATGCTAGGCTGGCAGACAGCTCTACATAGTCTCTAACTAGTAATAGTTATTGTGAAACGATAGCAGAAAGGTTCAATCAACATGTTTTTCCTATTGTGGTAAAATTGCTATACAACATTGTATATACTTTAGGTGTACATTATAATTCAACTAGAGGCCCAGTGCATGAAATTCGTGTGTGTGGGGGGGTGTCCCTCAGCCTGGCCTGCACCCTCTCCAAACTGGGACTCCTTGGGGGATGTCCCACTGCTGGTGGCTCCTAACTGCCTCTGCCTGCCTGCCTTATTGCCCCTAACCGCCTCTGCCTGCCGGCCTAATCGCCGCCTAACTGCCCTCCCCGGCAGGCCTGATCGTTGCCTTACTGCCCTCCCCTGCCAGCCTGATCACCCCCAACTGCCCTCCCCTGCCTGCCTGATAGCTCCCAACTGCCCTCCCCTGCCGGCCTGATCGCCCCCTAACTGCTTGCTCCCCCACGCCGGTCTGATTGCACCTAACCGCCTCTGCCTCGGCCCCCACCACCATGGCTTTGTCTGGAAGGAAGTCGGATGTCTGGAAGATGTCCAGTCGATCTGGTCTAATTAGCATATTACCCTTTTATTAGTATAGATATTTATATACACTACATAATGATCATCACTGTAAGTCTAATTATCATCCATCACCGTACAATTCATCCCCTTCACCCATTTTTGCCTGCTCCCAGAACCTTATGTTTATTGGAAGTGTAGGAAAGGCTTTGTGGCACATAGTAAGGTCTCAATAAATGTTTCTGGGAAGAACAATTCACAGGGGAGTAAACAGGAACATACATTAAAGTATAATGTTGTTCTAAGGGAAAAGAAAAGGAGTCAGAATGAGGGCACACTTTTATTGAGTCTAGGAAATGAGCCAGGAAACAAAGGTTTGGGATAAATGGCACATTTCTGAAAGGAGTTCCTTAGAGACAGCAAGGGGCTGTTTAATTAACATGTAAAACTACATTACTCTGGAGGAAGGAGTGCATAAGGAACTCTCCCCAAGGTTTTCTGATGACACAAAGCGCTGGAGTCCTGATGGGAGGCATGGTGGAAAGTTCCCAGGAACCTGAGGAGGTGGGGAAAGAAGTGGTAGCCGAGGAGAAGGCAAGAGGTGACTTTAAGGATATAATCCCAACTATTGCTGGTGAAGTTGAGGAAGTCAAGCTTGTATATCTGACCAAGGAAAAGACCTGGCATTTAATGTAGACTATTTCTTGAGAACTTCGGCCCAGGATGGTTCAAGACAAAAACACAGGTGAAATACTGGGGATTCTGAATTACAGTTTGTGGACCAAAAGGCGCACAAAAGAGTGATGTATTGACAGGTATGTGTGAACTCCTGGCCCACTGATACTGAGCAGGGAGGTCTGAGAACTGGCAAATCAAAAATTTGGAGGGCTGGTTATAGAGCTCAGGTAACAGGGTTAGGGACTTTTAGGTCAAAAAGGCAAAGATGAAAGTACATAACACTGTGAGCAGACAACATGCGAACTTGCTCATCAAATCTGAAATTCTGAGATTGAATCTGGGTGACATGAAATTTAATCAAAGGAAGGCCTGAGCCTAGCCTGTGTGACTCAGTTGAGTGTTGTCCCTTGCACCGAGAAGTCACCAGTTCGCTTCTGGGTCAGGGCACAGGCCTGGGTTTTGGGCTTGATCCCAGTAGGGAGCATGCAGGAGGATCTGTGTTTCTCTCTCTTATCAATGTCTCTCTCTCACCTTCTCTTTTCCTCTCTCTCTAAAATCAATAAAAACATTTTTTTTAAAAAAAGGAAGGCCTGACTCTCTGTTTCTCCTCAGTGTGGTGGAGAAAAGAGTGCTTAAATCAACATGGTGATGAGGACTAAATGATATCAATTAGGTGACAGTGTCTGACACAGAGGAGGTACAGGTAAAACTAAAGCAATCTGGCATCCCCAGGTGATTCCTGATGATGTGATACTGTTCAGAGCACACGGGATCTGGCATCGGGAGACAGGGTTTGAGTGCTGGCTCCACTCCAATCTTCATTTTCCCCATCTCTAAAAGGCAACAATAAGCCCTACCCCACTGAGCCATTAGCACGTTGAAAAGAGACCTTGCATTCATTCAGCAAGCATTTATTAAATGCTTACTTACCAGACAGCACGCTAGGTGTTGGGTGAGGACATAATAATGAGAAGAAAACGTTCTGTCCTTGGGCTGTGTTCCTTCTGGAATATCTAGGGGATAAGATAATCTGTTCCTTATCTTTCCCAACTTCTAGGAGCTGCCCCCATTCCTTGGTTCCTGGATGCATTGCTCTGACTCCTACTGCCATTGTCACA